AACTCCCTGGTTGAAGTCGAGTTCAATCAGCTAAAATCTCCGTGGTCGAAGTCGAGTTCGATCAGGAAAAGTAAGTGTGAAGTGATAGAGAATTGAAACTCCCTGGTTGAAGTCGACTTCGATCAGAAGAAATAGGAATGAACTGGTAGAAAATGAAATGTAAACTCCCTGGTGAAAATCGAGCTCGATCAGGAGAAAATAAGTGTGAAGTGATAGAGAATTGAAACTCCCTGGTTGATGTCGACTTCGATCAGATAAATCTATCCCGGTCGAAGTCGACTTCGATCAGAAGAAATAGGAATGAACTGGTAGAAAATGAAATGTAAACTCCCTGGTGAAAATCGAGCTCGATCAGGAGAAAATAAGTGTGAAGTGATAGAGAATTGAAACGCCCTGGTTGATGTCGACTTCAACCAGCTTAATAAAAAAAAAACAACCTCCCTGGTCGAAGTCGAGTTCGATCAGGAAAAGTAAGTGTGAAGTGATAGAGAATTGAAACTCCCTGGTTGAAGTCGACTTCGATCAGATAAATCTATCCCGGTCGAAGTCGACTTCGATCAGAAGAAATAGGAATGAACTGGTAGAAAATGAAATGTAAACTCCCTGGTGAAAATCGAGCTCGATCAGGAGAAAATAAGTGTAGAAGATCAGGAAAAGTAAGTGTGAAGTGATAGAGAATTGAAACTCCCTGGTTGAAATCGACTTCGAGCAGATAAAATCGACCCGGGCGAAGTCGACTTTGACCAGAGAGTTTATATTCCATTTTCTACCAGTTCACTCCTATTTCTTCTGATCAAAGTCGATTTACAAGTTAAGAACGGTAAAAGTCCATTTTTGTTTTGAATCGGCAAGAGTTTGAAGATGAAGTCAAAGTAAGTTCAGAAAATTAAGTTAGTTAAAAGAAGTTGTTGAAACATAAATTGTTAAACACGAGATGAATTAACGGGTGTGCCATAATAAACTGGACTAAATGGTACTGCATTTATTTCGTACTTCCTATTCAAATTAGAAGTTTCTTTACATACCCAAAGATAGAGAGTTTCAAGCTCTACAAAACCTACTATTTGAATCTCTGAGAGCATTTTTCTGGTTTGAGCACCATTCAAAATACTGAAGAGTGCTAAGTTGTCGAACTGCGACACACTGAAAATAGAAAAGCATTTGCGTTGATCCAAAAATAGATTCCATAAGATTTTTGAAAACATCAGAAGATTCTGCATCTTCTCACATATTTTTCGAAATTTTGCAGTTAAATCTTCTAGGAAAATTTCTCTGTGCAAAAAGCTGATAAATCTAAAAAAATCTAACTTTTGAACCTATTTTTCACAGAATTTAGTTTTTGGAGTATAAAAGCAGTAAAACGTTCTGAATTCAGGGTTTTAGTTTTATTATCTTACATAGAATTAAATTCTGCGTCTTTTGATATATAAACAAAGTTTCTCAATTGAAACCATTAATTAAAAAAATTAATTTAATTTGAAAAAATTGAAAAGCCGGTTGAGAACTAATTATGAGATCAGCTGACGTAGTGGAAACATTGTATAAGATTGTAAATGAGTGAGATCGATAGAGCGCAAAATTTTCTATCTTTCTATCTAGAAAAATTAACTATTGAATCTCAGACAATGTGCTAAAAATCTAAAAAAATGAGGCAACAAAAGTACGTCGCAGTTCGACAACTTAGCACTCTTCAATATTTTGAATGGTGCTCAAACGAGAAAAATGCTCTCAGAGATTCGAATAGTAGATTTTGTAGAGCTTAAAATTCTCTATCTTTGGGTATGTAAAGGAACTTTTTATTTGAAGAGGAAGTACGAAACAAATGCAGTAATATTTAGTCCAGTTTATTATGGCACACCCGTTAGTTCTGACTTGGGCTTCTGTCCATAGGGTAAAACTAAAAACTATTGAGATCTAACCTTTTAGAAAGGAAATCAGCCACTGCATCGTGCTTCTTTCTTTTGAGGCGGATGCTGAATGGAAAGATAAAGTTTTCTTCTAATTATTTCTTTTTGAAACAAATACTAAACATGTACCTGTACAAATCTACTAAACAAATGTAATAATGAAAAAGTAGACAACAAAAAACAACAACAATATTTTCTATGTTCAACTCAACAAGAAACAATAACAAAAAAATAACAAATTTTTTCTATGTTCAATACTGAAGATCCATCAACGTTTTCGTTTCCCAAGTACTTGGTAATTTTTGGATAATGAGTCTTGTAGCTCTTTTAGTGTGCTGTAAGAAAGAATTTGAATCGACATAGAAATAATATTATAAAAAAGATACAATGTATTTTACCGTGACTTCTCTGGCCTTTTTTTACTGTTCGATGATAATTGCTGACCATTGTTTTCCTTTCTTACATCTTCGTTCTCATCTTCGTCCATTTTTTCTGTTTTTATCTGAAATACAAAGAAAAATCACTGTCAGTCACAGAGCTGCTTAGAGAGAATTAGATTAAAAACAAGGCATGTTCACAATAAAACCGTCAAGAAACAAAGAGATGCTTACTGTTTCACTCTTTTCATCGATACCGCTCTCGTCAAAATCTGCAATATAAGAAAAATTTACTTTACACGTAGTTTATTTAATGAAGGAAGCATGAAAATAGGTGCGCAGCTGCGTAGTGAATAACTTCTCTATGATAAAGAGATATAAACATTTATTCCGCTCATAAGTCTCACACCTTCTTCTTCTGTTTGTTCACCATCACTAGCTGATGGCTGCTGTTTCGTTGTCACTGGATTTTCTGCACCATCATTCATTTTGGTATCAGTTCCAGCTTCTTCTGGCTTGATTAATTTAAAATCTCCACTAAAAAGAAACAAAAATAAAGGTATAGTGTTACAAATTTTTCTTCAATACTTTTTCTTACATAAAATTGATTATACTCCGAATTCGATCTTTTGACGTGAAATATACGGGTTTCATCTCTTTATAACATTGATTAATTGATATTATTTTCCCGTATCTTTGAAGATGAGTTCCAGCTTTCCCCAGTATTGTCTTGATTTCTTCTTGTCTTGTTAACATAATCCCTAAAAGACAAAGAGTTTATGTAGAAGTTTAGGCGTAATTCAAATAAACAAACCTACGTGTCTCTTTTTCCCACGGTATTTTAACTCTTAATGTGACACTGTCATCCTCACGTTTTAATAAGTATTGATATGTTGAATGTGGTTTGTAAGGAAATATCTTTGTTGCTTCCCCCCCC